GGCCACTCCTGGCCACCGCAGCCTCGACCTGCTGGGCTCTGGCGATCCTTCCATCTCAGCCTTTTGAGTAGCCAGAATTACAGGCACGCGCTACCATGCCCGGCTGGTTTTTTTGATTTATTGTAGAGATGAGGTCTCGCCAAGTTGCCCAGGCGGGTCTCAAACCCGCGGGCTCACCTCAGCCTCCCAAAGCGCGGGATTACAGGCTGAGCCACCGAGCCTGGCTCAGATTTATTTCTAAGTTCCTTGCAAATGCACATATCAATGTAGCTCTACACTAGAGTCTTTATTGTTAAATCCTAATTGACAAGAAATGTATGCCAACCAGTGGGAAGAAAAAGATTTGACTAAAATTTTATTTTGACAGACGACAACAAAAAATAGACAAATTAGACTTCAAGAAACACTAAAACTTCTGTGAATCAAAGGACACTAGCAACAGAGTGAAAGGCAACCTGCAGAATTGGAGAGTATATTTGCAAATCATGTATCTGATTAAGGATCATCAAGAGAACTTCTAACACTCAACAACAAAAAAATGCAAATAATCCGATTCAAAAATGAGCAGAAGGTTTTGAATAGACATTTCTTCAAAGAAGAATACAAATGTTTACTAGTCGTTAGGGAAACCCAAGTCAAAACCACAATGAGACACCACCTCACAGCCATCAGAGTGGTTACTACAAAAAAAAAATAGCAAGTGTTGGCAGGAAGGTGGAGAAATTGGAATCCTTGTGCACTGTTGGTAGGAATGTAACATGGTACAATCTCTATGGGAAACAATGTGGCAATTCCTTTTTAAAAAATTACCATATGATCCAGCAATCCCATTTCTGGATATATACCTCCAAAAAGGGAAAACAGGGTCATGAAGACCTATTTGTACACTTATGTTCATAGCAGTATTAATCACCATAGCGAAAACATGGAAGCAATCCACGTGTCTATCAACAGATGGTTGCTAAGGAAAATGTAGAATACACATGCAATGGAACATTAGCTTGAAAGCAAAAGAAATTCTGATATATGCTACAGCATGAATGAACTCTGAGGATATTTGGCTAAGTGAAATAAGCCAGTCACAAAAAGACAAATATTATATGATTCACCTAAATGGGGCACCTAGAATAGTCAAAATTATCATTAAAGTAGAAAGCTGGTTGTTAGGGCCTGGGGAGGAGAGGAATGGGGGGATATTGCTTAATGGACACAGAATTTCAGTTTTGCAAGATGAAAAGAATTCTGGAGCTGCATGGTGGTGAGATTTGCACAACAACGAATGTGTTTAATATCACTAAATAAGCCGGGCTCGGTGGCTCAGCCTGTAATCCCAGCACTTTGGGAGGCTGAGGTGAGTGGATTGCCTGAGCCTGCGGGTGTGTGACCCACGTGGGTAACTTGGTGAGACCTCATCTCTACATAAAATCAAAAATTAGCCGAGTGTGGTAGCGCGCGCCTGTAGTTCCAGCTACTCGGAAGGCTGAGGCAGAAGGATCGCCGGAGCCCAGCAGGTCGAGGCTGCGGTGGTTGGGAGCGGCCACTGCACTCCAGTCTGGGCAACGGAGTGAGACTCCAACTCAAAAAAAGAAAGAAAAAAAGAAAATATGTCTCTCCTTAACAAAACTTAGATTATAATAACAATGTGATCATTCTTGGAATAAAGAGTGGATCATATGATCAGTTTTTTGGGAGAAGAGTGGTTGAAGGAATTAGAATTGTTCCTACAGAATTATCTTACATTTAACTGGTACAACACAAATCATAAAGTTAATTTTCGCAAAATTATGTTAGAGCACCACTGATTTCCCCAAGGGCCTCTCTTAATTCTTTGATATTTGATCATGCTCTTTTGAAGACTCATCATCGTATCATTATCCTTGCCAATGTTAATTTCTTCAAAAGTTAACTGTTCTCTCTCTGCTAGGTCCTTACTGGTCAAGGGTTCAGGCAGTTTTCTCCCATTGCCCCTAAAGAGTTTTTGTAATCATGCATCCTTTGTAAGAGCTGCCATCTCACCCTGTATCAGAGAGCCCCAGGAGGCCAGTCTACGAGGATGTTCACGCAATGGAAAAGGGGTTGTGCCAGCAGGAAACAGGGATACAGTGGACGAGGGCTGCTGTATTCGTGGGTGGACGAGGGCTGCTGTATTCGTGGGTGGACGAGGGCTGCTGTATTCGTGGTCCGTTTAGTAATTTTGTGGCAACAGCTTTTCTGTCCCCATGCAACCTTGCAGGGCTCAAATAGTGAACCCTGATCATTGGGGATCCTGTATACAAAGAAGCCGAAAGTCATTTGGTAAGTGTTTGCTGCTGTTACAGCAAGCAAACAAAGACTGTGATAACCTTCAGATACTACAAATTGTGGGTCAATTAAGCTTTACCATCCATCCCTGTTGGGTTTTTCAGTGCTAGCTATGTCTCATGAATCCACCCTCACTTCCTCTGTCATTGGAGTTAGATGATCCATACACACTGCCTACATAATTCTAGAAGGATCTGTGAACCCAGTCACTCTTATCCCCTCCATTCCTCACACCTTCTCTGACTCCGCCCCACACAGTGGCTGGAATGACCGCTTCACCCCACCTGGACCCCTTTAGTGGATTCCCACCACCCTGAGGATACAGAGCAAAGTCATGACCACCCCACACGGTCCTATCTGATCGCACGCCAATCCCCCCAGCTCATCAATGCATCTCACCTTCACCCTATTTTCCAAACATCCCAGTCTTTAATCCATCTTAGGGCCCTCTCACCTGCTGCTACCTTTGCTGGAATGTTCTCGTTTCACCCATCTCTTAGAACTAAAAAGCCCCTGACCCTCCAGACCCCAGTGGACCCCCACTGTTATGCCCCCATTCTCAACGTCGCATTTGTTCCTGAAGATGGCTGGTCAACACCTTGCCTGTTCCACTGGACTGTAGGGTTATTGAAGCCCCTGGGTCTGGTTTATTTAGCGTTACACTCTACAGGCATATCCGTAAGTGTGTTGAGTAAATGAATCTGCCTGCAACTCCCATACTCGGAATTCTATCACGAAACCCATTTCCTGTTAAAATCAAAGGAAATAGTTGCAGAAAACTAAGGCCACATTTCACAGATGCAATTTGTGGGTGCGACTGCATTTTCCTAGTTCTGGAAACCAATGCTGCATGGTATTGCGCAGGACTGAAACAGACATTTTCAGAAATCTCCTTTTAAATCCTCTATATACTCCCTCGGTACCTTTGGTCCCACCGGAAGGTCTCTCTCATCAAATTTCACTCTGTGGTTACAGAGACATGTCCTAAGTGGAAACAGAACTATTGTTGCTTTCTTTTGTATTTAAAACTCTGTACAAATTTCTAAACATATGCATTGACTTTTTGTTAAAAATGCAACACCTTTGATTCTCCTAAATTTATTTATCTTTTAAAATTTTCTATATTTATTTATTATTTACCAAAGTCTCACTCTGTCGCCCAGGCTGGAGAGCAGTGGCATGTCACATCCACAGCCTCAACCTTCTGGGCTCAGGCAATCCTTCTGCCTCAGCCGTCCAAGTATCTAGGACTACAGGCACACACCACCACACCCTTTTTGATTTATTGTCAAGATGAAGTCTCATCATGCTGCCCAGGCTGGTCTCCAACTCCTGGGTTCAAGTAATCCTCCCCCTCGGTCTCCCAAAGTGCTGGGATTACAGGTGTGAGCCATTGCGCTCTGCTTGATTCTCCTAAATTTATTTTTATTTATCTAACCTATCCTTGACCATCTTGTGACCTACTAGAAACTTTCTTTCTTCCTTTCTTTCTTTCATTTATTTATTTTTTTAAGAGAAAGAGTTGCCCAGGCTGGAGTACAGTGGTACAATCATAGCTCACTGAAACCTCAGACACCTGGGCTCAGGGGATCCTCCTGCTTCAGCCTCCCAAATAGCTGGAACTATAGATGTGCGCCACTATGCCTGGCTAATTTTTGTATTTTTTGTAGAGACAGGATTTTTGTATTTTTTGTAGAGACAGGATTTCATGTTACCCAGACTGCTAGGAACCATTTCTGTCCATCAATACAGACTCCGAAACTGAATATATCACCTGAGAGCATGAAGGCAGATTGAAATCCTTGACTTCTCTCTAGACCCTCAGACCATCCATCCTGCTGCTCTGTTTTTAGCAATATCATAAGCTCTTCTCCCAGATAAAAACTTCCTTCCATTATCCTTTTTTTTTTTTTTTTTGAGTCAAAATCTCACTCTGTACCAAGGTTGGAGAACAGTGGCACGCGCATGGCTACTGCAACTTTGACCTCCTGGGCTCAAGCAATCCTTCCACTTCAGCCTCCGAAGTAGCTGGGACTACAGGCCATGCCACAATACCCGGTTGATTTTTTATTTATTGTAGCGATGAGGGCTCACCAAGTTGTCCAGGCTGGTCTCAAACCCCTGGGCTGGGATTACAGGCGTGTGCCACCACACCCTGGTCCTTCCATTACCCTTGATCAGGGACCTTCAATCAAAAGTCACTGCTGCTATTGCTTGATAATTTGAAAACCTGCCTGGAAGCCTCACCAAGCATGGAAACGGCTTCCTTGCCTGCTGGTGCATTTCCGATAACTACCGCTGTGAGGCCCGCCTACTCCACACCAGTCACTGTGTCAAGGATGTTTACACTTGGTCTCACAGAAACTTGGTAACAACTCAAAGAAACTGGTATTCTTCTCTGCAGTTACAGATCATAAGTTAAAGTTCCAAGAGGATCCTGTGTTTGCTCAAGGTCATGCAACTAACAAGCCAATAGATGACAAAGCTGGTGTCCAAATCATGCCCCTTTGCCACACTACCCATGCCTCTAGCGGGAAGGTCCTGTGCCCTCTCTTTCACTCTCACTGCACGTTACCCAAATGACTTCAATAACACACCTCAACTGGCTGTTTTGTTTCATTTGGACAGGCCCTGACTAGACCAACATAAATGCTCAGAAATAAGACAATTCCTTGGTAATTGTGAGTGTAGACCCTGTACCAAGCCTAGAGTCAAACGAAAAGTGTCTGCTGAGTAAGCAACAACATTTCATTTCCATGCATTCCATTCTAAACACAAGGCATTAATAATTCTTTTTTTTTTTTTTTTTTAAGTTGGAGTCTTACTCCGTTGCCCAGGCTGGAGTACAGTGGCATGCTCCTGGCCACCGCAGCCTCGACCTGCTGGTCTCCGGCGATCTTTCCGCTTTAGCCTTCCAAGTAGCTGGAACTACAGGCGTGCACTACCACACCTGGCTAATTTTTTTTTATTTATTGTAGAGATGAAGTCTCGCCAAGTTACCCGGACGGGTCTCGAACCCGTGGGCTCAGGCAATCCACTCGCTTGCCTCCCAAAGGGAGACCGAGGATTATAGGCTGGGATTATAGGCTGAGCCACTGAGCCCGGTCTTTTTTTTTCTTTTTGGGGGGCATTAATATTCCACAGAAAGACTTCTTTTTTTTTTTTGAGTTGGAGTCTCACTCTGTCGCCCAGACTGGAGTGCAGTGGCC